ACTGCACTGGACTGCCTTTCTAAGCAGCTGCTGGCCCCAGCCCTGCGGTACTGGTGGGGACCCGCGTGCAGTCCAGACCTGCCCCGTGCCTGCTGCAGACTCACCTGCTCATGCTGAACAGTTCCAGCTCCAGCAACATCAGTGCTGATGAGGCAGACGTGTCCTCAGGGCAGGGGAAAAGCGGCCCCTCCCCCTCAACACTGCCCAGTGCTTCCTCTAGCAGCTGTGTGGACCTGCACTGAGCTGCCTTGTGTTGCCCCCACTGCCCTGCTGTGCCACCTGGAGGCAGCAATGACAGCACAGGGCAGCCCAATGTGGGCTCTGCATGGCTGCTGCAGGAAGCACTGGGCAGCACTTTTCCCCTGCCCTAAGGACACTTCTGCCTCATCAGCACTGATGTTGCTGGAGCTGTTCAGCATGAGCAAGTGAGTCTGCAGCAGGCATGGGCCCAGGTGGGACTGAGGGACCCACCACAGGCCATATTTTGCCCACCCCTGAAATAACTCAGCAGCCTCTACACACAGCAGCTTCATAGACTGAGAGGAATCTGCCTGCTGGCCCCTTTAACTTTGGCATGAGGATTTGGACCTAAAAGAATTGGCAAACTCTGCTGATACATGTATAGGAATTAAACTCTCACACCCACTCCTGGGGTGCTGTTTTAGGAACTACAGGGATGTTCCTATCACAGCTGTGCCCTGACTTACCTCTCCCCAAACTCCACTGGCATAGAGGAAAAAAACACTTCAAGGCCCATCTGAACAGAACACACATTCACTCTTTGGTGGGGGGTTCAAATCTTAGACCAAGTTCTGCCATTTTTAAATAAGTCTGTGTGCACCAAACTTCTGCTCTGTTATGGGTATAAACCAATTTTGTGTGCCAAACTTCTGTTCGGTTACAGGTATAGACTGGTTTCTGATCACTTATACCAGTAAAAATGTAATGTCTGTACCTGGCCTTAGACTCCAGAATGCTCTCAGACTTTCATTCCCCACCAGCCTTGTGAGCAGTGTTAGGAAAGGAAACAGAAGTCTCCTTCACACACCGGAATTGGCAATGCTAAGAAATCTGATGTAAAGCAGGTGCCAGCAGCTACCAGTATTTTAAACACCACGCCAGCTACGTCTGCTCTGAGCAAGGGTAGATGAGAGGGTGGTTAAAGCACTGAGAACTGGTCTTCATTAGTATTGTATCAATAGCAGGGTTGCACTACTGGTAGCAAGAACCAACTATTTTAAATCAATAATCTTATTTTAAAGCCTCCAGGTGGCCCCAGAATTCGGCACCTCTGTATATCAGACAGAGAGGACACAGAATCATTCTCATACAATAGATAGACATAATAGATCCCATCTAACCTCTTGCAAGGGCCAGACTCTGATAAAGAATTCATCAGGTATCTGATACTGCACTTGGCCATGTATATTTCATAAAAGTCGGAGGGCTCAGTCTTCAGCTATGATAAGTTTACTCAGGGAGAAGTGATGGGAGGAAACAGGAGAAAGGTGCTTTTACATATACTTCCACCACCCTGACCCTGGCCTAGCTGGAGGCAAAATAAACCCAATGTAATTTACAGCAGCTTCAGGGATGCTCCAAATTATTCTGTCTGCAGTCAGGAGCACCATCTAAAGAGTTACCTGTTACAGTCGCTCTTGTGGGGAGATTTCCAAATGTTTTGTGCTGTCAGTTAAGCCCCTAATACATTCAGATAACTTCATAACAAATGTCCCAGCAAAACTCTAAGGGTACAATTTCATTTAATTAGCAAGCAAAGTGCAACCAACTCTGAGTTACTGAGTGACAGGTACAAGCAACTCCCACCTCTGGGAGTATGTGTGCCCCCATTATAGGAATAGGTGCAACCTCCAGAGATGCCCAGATGTCTCCTTGTTCCTATAATGGAATCTCTTAAGCACCCAGATGGGAGGAAATAAAATCACTTGTATGCATTAGTCATGTGACTCAGAAAAGTTGCTAGCTGAAGCTCAGTCATTTCCTAGCTGAAAAAGGATTCTACCCTAGATGTCCAATATGTTTTGAGCAACACCAGTGATCTGAATATATTTTTTCTACTGCCTAAACAAGTTGATGTTCACAATAGTGTTGCAGCTCTTCTCTTTAATGTAGGGGGACATATTTTTGTGTAGGAAGAGCCCCTTGGGGAGTGTATCAGTATTTGAGGAAACAGTACGGCTGAAGAGCAAAGACCATTTCCTCGTCGATGCAGTTCAGTATTTCACTTAACCTGACTGGAATCCTTTTGTACACTTTGATAAACAAGAAAATTATATGCCTGTATTAAAGAGTAAATGAGTTATACATTCAAATAACTTGTAAAAAATCTATATATAATTTTAAATAATTTAAATAAATTATATAATTTTAAGCAATTAATGCCTCTTATATAACCTCCTGCCCTAACCAGCACCAACTATAAAAAATGTATTACAGCACAAATCATAACATTATACATAGTCATTTAATGCATTTCAAATTTTAAACTGATTGAAGTTTAGCAGCAGGGATAAAAAAAATCATTGTAATAATGGCCTGCCCTGCATATTTTATGGAAATCAGAGGCATTTATTAACTGTAAGTTCTGTTTATAAGCAAGAAAGTTAATGTGACCATAAAAAAAATATGCAATGTGATTTACCACAGGGGCTGCCTCAAAAATGCAAAATCAAATTAAAAGCAAAATGTAAGAAAAATCTGTGGCTCATTAAATTGAATGGATTGCTATGAGGGATGGAGTGGACACAAGAGTTTGTATATGTGTCTACAACTTCATTTTCTTTCAAATGAATTCTCCACATTATTGTAGAAGATCCACTGATTAGGAAAAATCATGGTTTGGTGGTTAGTTCTGTCACCAAAAAGTGATATAATTAAAAACAAATTGGGGGTAGAGAAACTCATTGTAAAAATATTTCTCTTCACCTGCTGCTAGAATCAAGCTTTTAAGCATTTCGTTCCTTGTTTCAAAATGTATTTAATTCCTAATAAAATTTCACACCATTATAGATTGCTGACATTAGACTATCTCAATGTAAATTGCAAAAGGTGCTTCCAGGAAGGCTGACTGTTTATAAAGCAGTCTCCTCTTCTAATAGGCAACGTACTCAAGGAAAGAAAAGGTGTCTTGATTCTATAAACTATCTCATCTTGCATTTAGCTGCTACAAAATAAGACACGCAATATTTGAGGCTTTACCCTTCTCCCACGTACTCTGAACTCTCAGCACATTTATTCTCTCTCTTTTTCTAGATGTCTAATTTATTCCCTTGTTTAAGTGACAGGGAACATTAAAGACCGTTTGTACTTTGCAATGATAAAGTCAGTCCTGTTTAGTCTTAATCCATCTGATTTCTTATCATTTTTAAAATTAATCATTCACATGGGTCCCTGTTGTACCTTGCATAAATCGGGTCTAATGGCTAAATCGGCATGAAACATACTGTGCAGCATTACAACTGCTCTCTATTGATTCATATACGGCACTGATCACTGTAATGCTATATTACCTTCCTGTACTGAATTAAGCAACAATTAACAAATGGTTTGTTATTTTTGCATGTCATTATGTATGTATATTAAAAGAAGGCAAAACTAAAGAAATGCACCTTGCATCTGAAGCAGAAGGTGGTAAGGTGAGGGGCACTACTTAGTTCATGGGGAACTATATTCAGTGTCTTACAACTGTGATGATTCACCATTTTGATGTAAAACAATGTTCTTGTTTCCTTCATGTGTTGTAATTATCTCCCATACTATTCAAGGAATAATCCCCAAGTCCAGCGATATCCCTGAACACAAATAAAATTGTGATTTCTCGCTCATGAACAACTGACAATAAAACACCATTTTTCTTTACAGTGTTGCTGGCAATGCTTCTCTCTCTTCAGCAAAGTTTTAGATACATGGTTAATGTGGCAGTAAAGCAGTCATGTCACTGCCTTAACTACATATTTTTATAAAAATGATCATCTAAATATGATCATTAGCATTTTTAACTCTGAATGCATGGTTAGTATTCTCTCTTGTTTTTTATGTTATGGTAAGCTCTTATTCTTTTGGTATTAATGCAGTTCTTTTTCATACATATTGAATACAAAATGTATTTAGACATAAGAGAAATGTTTATAAAAATATACAATGTAATGACTGTATGTAACGTATTCCTACACAGTACTGTCCAGATCTGACTTTAACAACTATTGTTTTACCCACCTCTCCATCCCCATAAAATAAAAGTTCACTGATGTCTCTGCTAGAAGACATTGCTCACATCTTGAGAAAAAACTGGACACTGTATTCAACAAAACTGACAAGAAATATCTGTCACTAATACAACATGTTTGATTGTACCAGCCTTCTTAAATCTACCAATGAATATGGAGTTTTGAAGCCAGATATACAAGACTGAGTAGTTTCAAATTTATGATCACAGCACAGTGACACCTTATTTTTAATAGCTGCCATCTGCTTTATGATCAATGATAGTAAAAAAAATTACACAGCTTGTGGTTTGGAAATTAAACCCAAGTAATTTAAAAGAAAATAATAGTAGGTCAGTGAGAGCCATTAGTGATTTTTAAAAGCAAAGGAAAAACTTAACTATCAAGATGTATCCTTTCTATAGAGGGGCCCAATATCTTAATATCATTTACAGACAAAAAACCCCAGCATACACAGTAGATTGCAGAAAGACACGGGTACTCTAAGGGAAGCTTTACAGATGCATAACTATAGGTTAAGTGTTGTACGCGCAAATTTGGGTACCTATTTTTCATTTGCCCTCCAGAAATCTCCCCTTTTAGCAGTTATTAAAATTAATAAGAATTATTAAAAAGGATAAATTACCTTATTTACTCAAATATCACATGGGGATTTTTCCCAAAAACCAAACACCCAAAATCTGGATGCGTGTCTGAGGCAGGAAATTTCTATTCTGCCCAGAATAGAAGCAGCTTGCTTTGATTCCTGTTCCACAGTGCAACAGAAGTGGCATTAGTATTCAGGCAACTGAGGAAATTATATGACTTCATGGCTCATTGTTCTCCTCTACACAGGTGTTAAAAATTACAGCTCCTCTTTAATGGTTTTGATGTTCCTCTAATCTAGTTAACCTTTCTTAGGGAAATGTTGAAGTCTGCTAGCTGCTCCTCATCTTTCTTCTATTTTACAACTCTAGAAACTCTTTGGCTCTTTTCAAAATCATAGATCCATCCATGGAGACCAGTCTTCAGAAACAACTAGACGGGTGATCCTCCCCCTCTATGCGGCACTGGTCAGGCCGCAGCTGGAGTACTGCGTCCAGTTCTGGGCGCCACACTTCAAGAGGGATGTGGACAGCATCGAGAGGGTCCAGAGGAGGGCCACTCGTATGATCAAGGGACAGCAGGGTAGGTCCTATGAGGAAAGGTTGCGGGACCTGAACCTGTTCAGCCTTCAAAAGAGAAGGCTGAGGGGGGATCTTGTGG